TGAGCAAGTGCAACAAAGATCATTTCACCCACAAAACATAAAATATTTACTATCTGACCCTTTATAGAAAAAATATTCCCTTACCCATGGTTTAAGTGGTGCAGCAGCTATGGCTTCACACTTGCATGCCCTCTATAGGAAGGAAAACTGCACTACATACAACCCACTATGCTTCATGGGTAAGTTACTGATCATTTATCTTTCTTGAGCCTTTGGCTGATGAGCCTCACCCCACCCCTCATCAAGTTGTTTATCAGAAACACCTATAGCACTGTCACTGAAATTGTATAAGTACTGTTTTCTCCATGTTTCCATCTCTTCTGACATTTTGATTCCAGTTTTAACAGGAATAGCCATTTTAGAAGCTGAAATATCTCTATAGATCAGGGGAGCCTAGTGAGTGTGGTTCAAATGTTTAACCTCCTAGAGAGCTATAGTTGCCTCATGAGTAATAGTCATGCCATATTCATGCCATAAATTTTTGAAAATAACAAGATTCTAAAAATAATAAAAGTAGCAAGATTTTTGCCACTAGGCTAATGATTAGGAGGCAATCCGTATGTCTAATGCTGGTCCCAAGACCCATAAAAAATAGAGCAGCAAACAGGTTCCCAAAAGTCAATGAAATTGGTTATTTGTAACGTCCTGTAATCTGACACGTGACATTCGCTCCCAATCTCGTCATTTTTATGCCAAGCACACTGCGCGTCCTCTAGGCCAGTTCTTGGTATCAGTGTCACAACTGGCTCCAAAGTGTGACTAAATATCCTGTGTCATCAATGAGAGGGTAAGCTACAAGCAGTTTGTAAATTACCTTACCAACTCCTAGGAACTACCGGGAAGGACTTGGAAGATCCCTGGGCTCTCTAAAGAGCTTACCCCCATGGGCCCAGAGAAGTTTCTGTGTACTTTCTAATTCATTCTATGAAAACAATGGGTTAATGGGTTTGGTAAAATAAAAGTTTGAAATCAATGGTCATAAAATGTCATGTAAGCTGACATTACTGGGGCGATAGTCACAATAATTAACAGCCAGTATGGCATAGGTTCTGACCAGTAAGAATGGGAACTGGGCCTGGCATTTGTCAGATGCCACCTTTTAGTGGTTGGATGAAGGAGACCTGGGTATTCTTGGAATGGAGGAGTCAGATAACCAGGGCAGCAGGTTAACACACATAAAGTTCAAACAACTACGTATCAACCAGCATGGAAATATTTCAGTTCTCATCACCTGTGTTATTTCAGTTCTCATAACCTGTATCTTGAAGGTTGCACAGTAAGTCTGCAACAGAGTTACAAGTTTAACTTAGAACTTGATTTCCTAGGGAGAAATATATAACTTTTAATATTCATTGGTACTTATATTACCATTTTTTCACAATGATATTGATGTCAAAAATAAATTATTTTACTGAACATCTAGCTTCATCAAGACCTTTCCATGCCAAAGAAGAAGTAAATATTCCGTAACAGTCTGAAACACAACAATGCCACTTACCCTTATATTTATTTCTTTTCATGGATTCTGAAGCAAAAGGTGCTAAAGACACCTCGTTATTTACATATATTCAAAAACATGTATTAATAGAAATAGAATGTTCTTTTAGACTAATATTCTTGTGTTTCCACTTCAGAATGTCTTTATTTCAAGAGGTTGTCTTATTTTTTTAAAATGTGTCTCTATTGTCAAAAGTATTTCAGCTGTCCCCCTTTTTTTCCCCATTGACCCCCTCCTTCCTGTTCTCTCCTCAGGCCTTCACCCCACTATTGTGCCTGTGTGTTATGCATATATGCATGTAAGTCCTCCAACTACCTTTACACAGCCTCACTCTCGACAGTTTAAATAGCTCATAGTTCCCTTGTGAGCAATGCTTATGATGATCTTTTCTTCCTCCTCCCCTCCTTCCCTCTGAGAATCCGTCTGTCGCATGCTTCCATATCCTTGGGTATGTTTTGTTTTGTTTTGTTAGACTAATATTCCTTTTAAATATACTTCCACAAATTCTGGAAGCACAGCAGATCGTTACTAAGATAATGATTAGGTTGCAAGAAACCAATTCTCAGAGAATGCTTTTTAAGGAAAGCACGGATCTGTTTATCATTTCCTAGTTTGTCAGTGAGCATGGAAAACAACTTCTGACATGCATGATTAGTTACAACTAATTAATTTTTTTACTCTCCCTCTGGAATGATAAAGTAATGTGCTTATTTAACCTGGTACCCCTCTTGTAAATTTGCTCCTGTTGACAGTTCTGCCATCTGTTTGCACGGGATGAAGCCCTGGTGCCCCTCTAATTGGCCATAAATTAGGTACTAGCCCCAGGCTTTTGACAGGATCCTTCAGTTCCAGTTTGATTTTTTTTTATTAAGCTGTAAATCCAATACTTGGTGGGAAGCCCACTCTCTCCTAAGAGTACAGAAACACATTTCTTGAGTCCTAGATTCAAGCTGTCTTCTCTATATTTATGTTTTCACTAGATCTCACTCAAGGTGTCCTCTCTATCTAGATCCATAAGACAAACTTATGCTGATCACAGAGAAAACCTTTAGATCAATAAATGTCTATGCCTTACTTTAAGAAGAGGAGGATAAAGACATTTATTGAGTGCTTACTACACAAGTTGTGATGTCTATGGAACTATATGTATGTTAAATTGATCTTCAAAACAATTTTATAATTTAGGTAATATCATCTTACTTTTTCAGATGGGGAAACTGAGACTTAGAGTATAAGTAATTTGCCCCTATTGTCATAAAATGTTGCAGTCAATTTTCAAATATTGGGCTTTATTTGCCAAAGCCTGGGCATTTTCCACTGTGCATGCTCCATAGATGATTAGGTTTGAGAAAAGAGAAAATTACGATGAGGCAAAAGTATGTGTGTGATGCTACTTGGTACTCCTGCATCTCTCAGGCCCTCAGTTAAAATGAAGGAGCTCGACTAGATGACCCACAAAATCTCCTTCAATTTGATTCCTTGTGATTTGGTTAATCTGTGATTTACCATTTACCAGGAAACCTATCGAGTTATTAAACTTCTATGGCTATCCTTTCCTCTTTTTCAAAACACCTTATCATCATCACTTGGATTGAAAGACTTCTCACCAAACATTCAGCCCTTAGTCTCTCCCTCTATTTTATGCATAATTCACAGATTAGTCTACCAAACAATGTTAGAGTGGCATTATTTTGCTATCATAAAATTGTCAGAGTTATTCTTATCTCAATACTCAGTGTTCTTTTTTTTAAAGATATATTTTATTGATTTTTTTTACAGAGAGAAAGAGAGAGAGATAGAGAGTTAGAAACATCGATGAAAGAGAGTCATCGATCAGCTACCTGTTGCACACCCCCTACTGGGAATGTGCCCGCAACCAAGGCACATGCCCTTGACCGGAATCAAACCCACCACCCTTGAGTCCGCAGGCCGACGCTCTATCCACTGAGCCAAACCGGTTTCGGCCCAATACTCAGTGTTCTTGATGAACCAGCCCCAGTATGAATTTATTCTATGAATTTATTTGTCATAATATCTCCTCCAACTACCTTTACACAGCCTCACTCTTGACAATATAGATAGCTCATAGTTCCCTTGTGAGCATTGCTTCTGCTGTTCACTTTATTTATATCACCTCGCCTGTATTTCCAGATCTACCTAACGATACCATTTCTTTCATGAAGACTTTCCTGATTATCTTCAGAAGCAGTCACCCTCTTTTCCAGATGCCCATAAATATGTATTCGGACACTTTTGTATTCTGCTTTGCATTATGATTACTTGTGCATATTAGAAGCTAATTGCTAAACTAGGACCTGTACTACTCATTTGATTCCTTCCATGGTCCCTCACAATGCCTTGTGTATAGTAGATCCTTAGTAAAATGTTGGCTGAATGAAAGAATGAATGAATGGGAAATTGTTGTTTCTGGGAACCCGACAAAGCATATCTACTTCAGATATATCTATGGATACAACTATCATTTGGCACCTGTGCCACTGCTCTGGTTCTAGAGATCCAACTCAGAGGGGCTTCCTAACATGAAATTTGTGAATCAGGTGGGATCTCTCATTACTCAGACCCCTCCAAACTCAACCTCAACTCCAGCATTCTGAGCTGATCACCTCCGCCCCCTCAGTTTCCTTTCACCCTGACACTCACAGCCTAGTCCAGCTCCACTAAAATGGGTGGTTTGCAGAACTTCTCCTTGAGCCTGGCACTTGGCTTTTTTGATAACTTATCAATACGCACTGCAATGAGGAAACACTTAGCAGGTTCTTCCAGATAGCACACATGCATTTTAACCATGCTCTTGGAGAGTCAGCGATCTGGCATCTGTAGTTTAACCTATAAAGCATTCAGATCATGAGAGCAGCAAGCCAGAATGGAGAGAAGGAACAGAGATAGGTAGCATGCGACAAACTTTCAAGGTTCCTACATATATGCTTGTGGCTAGAAGATGCTTTCTTCAAAACTGTCTTCCTAAAATGCTTCTATTATAGGAGTCAGGGGATGGAAGAAAAGACGAAATAACTAAAATATGCTTAAGGAATAGTCCATTTCCTGGTAATAATAATAATATAACAATTGATTATGATTAATCTATTATTATTATTATAATTATTTTCATTCTAAAAATTTACACAAATATCTGGTATCGCTTGAGTGCCTCCTGACTAAAACACATGGGGACATGTGGCTTTCCTTGTGTGTTCCCATTAATCCTCACAATATGGCTATCATGTTGCCTTATCTCCAGTTTATAAATGAGCTGAGGCGAAGCTAAAAGTGCTTAAGTACCTTGGTGAAGACCACAGAGATAGAATGGTAGAGTTAGCTACTTTCAAGAATAATAGGAAATGACAATCAAGAATAAAAGTCATTTTAAAATGAAAATACATGAAACAAATATTAATAGCTCCATAAAATGATGTCTGATTCCAGAAACTCATGCATGCCACTGATATGAGTGTGCAATATGCATAACAAAGAATGTACTTACTCTCTGTCAATCACAAGGCAGGTCACGGCTTCTGCAGCAATTACGTTTGCTGTTCTCACATCCTCCCTGTATGAAAAAAGAGAGAGATATTGAAGTAAAAATAACCTTTACTATCAAACAAAAGTGTTCCTTGTGATTCATTCAGGAAGCCTAGTAAATTATGTATACTCTTATCATTTATCCACCTGCAGGTTTAAGCTTTGTTCATCTTTTACATTTCTTTGTTCTCAGGAACCACCTTGTTCTTGTCATGCAGCACACAAATTTCATAGTTATAATTCAGCAGTTATAATCTTCAAACGTAAAGTTTCACTCACGGAAGTGAAACGATTTTATATTATCATTCCCTATGCTCTCTGGGGAATTACTAAATTAATTGGTCCATGATAGAGACAGTAATAAACATGGGCAGATGACATTTTTTAAAGGACCTGAAGGTATATTTCTGGAGACTGAGAATCTAATTCATAGTGTGCATGAATTTATCATTCTAACCTTCAGAATAACTGATCTGTTTCAATTATTTCCTTACTTTAGAGACCCTGCTTTTATGTGGCTCAACCTTTGGCAACTTCTAGTACATGTGCCAGAGCTTATGGTTCATTAAGAGTATTTGACAAATCTTTTTCACAGTGACAGAAATTTGTATATACCCTCTCCTTAGAAGCTTGTAATTTGTCACTGTAGGGGGATCTGTCAACCTCTTAAACCTTTAAAAAACCTGCCCTGATATCTCTGTCTGATCCAGTGGTCACAGGTGGATATGGTAAATTAGTATTCACATGTCATTTTGAGCTACTAAAAATTTAATGGTACCACTGGCATGAAAACTTGTTATACTTGAAAACGTACTCTCTTTCCTAGAAAGGTAACATTTCTAAGTTAATATAATTAATGATGAATATGAGTTTGAAATACATTACAGAGAAATGTACATAGGAAATAATATAGTGTTAACACATTCCAAAAAGCATAATTAAAACACCATATGTTTCTACAGGATAGAGATGTAAGTCTTAAAAATAAAGATATTTTCAGTGGATAGTCATTTTTTAAATATACCAAGTTATCACATATAATTCTAAACTCTATATTTTTTCTACTGATCTTTTTCTTTCATTGTTAATAAATTATGCTATTAAGATAATTGTTGTTTTATAGCAACTATTTTGCATTTAGAATTTGGTACAGCAAATTTCCCCTTATAGAAATTCTTTTTCAGAAATATGTTGATGATATTCTTAAACATTCACATTTTATATAGACTTCAAAATAAATTTCCTCTTCTAAAGAAACCTACTCTCAGACTCTGCTAGAGTTGTATTACAGTTATACTTTGATTTCAGAAAAAACAGATTCTGATTCTAATAATTCCCATACAAGAACATATGGCATAATCAATGAAAGAGAAACACCACATGACCTCACTCATTTGTGGATGATAAAGAACATTATAAACTGATGAACCAAGAGACAGATATAGAGACAGTAAAGCAACAGGCAGACTGTCAAATTACAGTGGGGAGGGGAGGAAGATCTGGGGGAGATAGATCAACCAAAGGACTTGTGTACATGCAGATAAGTACAACCAATGGACATAAAACTCTGGGGAGGGAGGGTATGTATGGGAGGGAGGGGGGGGCAAAAAATCAATAAAATATATTAAAAATAAATAAATAAATAAATAAAATAAAAAAAGAACATATGGCATGACTTTCCACTTGTTCAGATCTAGTTTTCTGTCTTTAAATAATATTTCTTAATCTTTTTTTCACTTAGAGCTGACATTTCAAAAACAGTATTCTTAGGTGTTTCACATCCTTAGTTTCTCATGAGTGGCATCCTTTCCCATTTGTTTCTCACTGGTCATTACTCAGGAAACAAAAAAGGTACTGATTATTGTCATTTTTAACCCACCTAACATACTAAGTTCCCTTGTGATTCTAAAATTTTCATTATCTCTCCACAACTCCCAGCATCCTCCTCCCAGTACCTCTCTCACATTCTCCCCTTTCCAGCCAAACTGTCCTCCTTTCCATCCCTGCACATTTCATCTCCTTTAACGTGCCTTCCCTTATTCTAGGAATCTTGTCTCCAACTCCTTGCCTAGTTCAACCCTGCTTATCCTTTAGATTTCGGCCAATGTGCCCCTTCCTCAGGAGAACCACATGAATTAATGAGAACATGTTCAATGTTTTTTCATTCTCATGGCCCTGCATACCTCTTTGTCCAACCACCTATCACTGTAATTATACATTTGTTGCTTTAATGACACTATGTTCCTCCTACTAAAGCACATGAGCGCAGGTTCCATGGCTAGTTTTGCTCTCCTTTTTACCCTAAACGGCTGGCACACAGCAAGTGCTTAGGAAGTGTGTAGTACAGGATGGCACAGGCACCCCAGCCCCAGACCCACTACACAGGCTCTGGAATCCCACTGCAGTGGTTTTACAAGACACGCTGCAAGTTGTGTGAAAGGCTCAGCTTTCTCACCTGTAAAAAAAAGGGGATGGTAAGAACGCCTCCTCACTGTGTCATATTAAATGAGATAATCGAAGATTTGTTTATCATAATGCCTGGCACATAGAGAGCAATGTGTTCTGTTGTTTAGTATCCCTAGCTCTTGTCAACCATGCTGTCATGTCTGTCCTTATAGAGCGATGTGTTTTATGAAACATTCCTACCCAAGAATGAAGTGTGGATTTTCTTTTTGCTCCATTGAAGTAGACAAGATATTTTCAATTCCATTATCACTTTCTGAATGGGAATTTGAAGTGGACATAAGTAGAAAATGTCAGTAATGCCATCAGGTCTTCTATAAATCGTGTGAATGGCTTATTTCTAAGGAGTTTGCTCAATTCTGTATAAATTATTACAAATTGCTGTCATTGTTAAACACACCCACACAAATAACCACATCATAGCTTTATAGAGAACATCATATTAAATCTCACTTTCCCGAAAACATATTTCTAACTTGGTAATTTAGAAACTGCTCACAGTCTTTCAAAGTATGAAATATATGAGATAATGCTTCCCTTTTTTATAATATGTTCTGTGCATATCGATTTTAAAAAATGATTTTATTATAAATATTTCAATATTTTAAAATTTCATCATATTCTATGGCATAAAATTGAATATATTTAAAAAATGAATTTAGTTTTCTTGCAACAATAAGTACATAGATATTTTTAAGTGTAGATGGGGCAAAATCAAAGATCAGAAGAGTGACACAGTCAACAGAAATTGAAAATATTTTATTTTAAGAAAATCTGTGATAGCCTACAATCAGGCTTAGTATCCTGTAAAGTGACATATACCAAAACAGAAGAGATGTATAATGTAGGAAAATAACAAATTAAACAAGAGATTATAATATTTACCAATTAATGAGTATTTAATATATATATGAAATCTCACACAAACTTCATTTAATACATCTAACAGAGGTGGATATTTTATTCCAGATTTACACAGAGGTATAAAGGTTAGGTAACATATCCAAAGTCAGACATAGCTAATGAGTTGTAGCCTTGGAATTTGAAAAAAGATCTGGCTGGCTCCAAAGTGCATGTTCTTTCCAAAACAGTCCACTGTTGATACCCTGCTGTCCAATTTACTAGCACAACAGTTCTGACTTAATTTTAATGCAAAACAACTTCTAGTAGTAAGTAGTCATAATGTCTCTGTCTGTCCATCATTGTAAAAATATATGTAATTGTTAATGAAAACAGCATTAGTATGTTTATGAGTGCCCAATTGCAAATCTAATTCAGTAAAGCATTTCTTTTTTAAAATATCTTTATTGATTAAGGTATCACATATTTGTTCTCATCCCCCATTCAGTAAAGCACTTTGATTCCAAAACTATTAGAATTTATCTCCATAGCTATGTCCTAGCCCTGTTATATTGCTTTATAATAATGCTACATAAAAATTACAAATTATTCAATGCCAAGTTCCTGCAATGCCTAACTCATGTGGCCATTGCATTGTCATTGTCTATGAAGGTACTTAATGCCACTATGATCGTCTATGCAATTGTCTAAAATGTCATAACTGTGTACTCAGAGAGCTGCTTCTGTAAAATACCATTTAATGTCTTACCTAGTACTGACATATATAAATCCCTTATTTTATGAGAGACAGTAGAAATTTATGAGAAAATATTACTCACATAAGCTGACAACACTGTGATTTACTGTGTATGCTTATTTCCTTTATAGGTCAAAGGAGCATATCAAAAGCAAAGATCATTTGGATTCAGATATAAAATATTACATACTCATATAAGGCAGAGGTCCTAATAGCTCCTTGTTGTTATAAAACTTATATTTGTTCACACATAGCTGTTCTGGCTTCTCACAGAACTTCTGTGTTAGTGAACCTAACTTAGTTAATAGGATTTCATGTAATTAGATTTAGACATGGGAAAAGAAAAGAAAAAGGGAGATGGTATTCATTTTAAAAACTGATGCTTCCTTTTTAGTTTTTTAGTAGATTAAGGTATTTAATAATATCTAATAGATGAATATATGAGATTTTGAAAAAAATGGCCATGAATTATATAACTAGAGTTATATGTACAATATACTTAATTAAAAATTTTCACCAAACACATATTGCCTTTGCACACTCAGCACAGTTCTTTATAGCAAATAAATATACACACATCTATATAACAGTCCAGGCTTAACATGTGCATCTTCTTTAAAAAATAAAGTTTCAAATCCATGCATTTCTCTACCAGTATTAGTTGATTTTAGCATGACAATTAATAAACATGTGTTACTGCAGAAGTAGCTACTTTTTGGCAGATTAACAGATATTTTACAAAGTTGCTATTGATTAATTATTAATATCAAAGCTATGCAGTTTAGTACTATTCTTTTAAGCATTTTAGGAAGAGTTAGAAATTGCTTTCAGTGAAATCATAGAGCACGAAAAATATCCAAAAATATTTTCAAATAACAAAAATATTTTCTGTGCACTGACTCTGATATTCTTTGAACTTCATCACTGGAATCTTCATCATCGCTGTATCCCAAAGAGGAATCACTGTC